CATAGAGTCTCCTCCTAGCATGGTGTCCTTTTTCCTCTACTTGTCCTAACCAAAACCCCATATCAATGGTGGAGCCAACCGGAGACAGGGAGCCACAGCAGAGAGATGAAAGAGCCACATGCAGCTCCAGAGGTGGCCAACCCTTGCCTTAAGTAGAAAAACCACCTTTTATTGAAAGAGGCTCTCCTAATCTCATTCTTATCGCTCCGTTAAATAGGAATTCATATTTGCATGCAATTTTTACTTCCTGTGGACAAAGCGTGGAGGGCAACGCCTACCTTCACCGCCTCTTCGCTGCCGGCACAGGCACCGCGGTCAATGAGGGAATTCCCGACGTCAATGACACCGCGGATTCGGTCCGCATTGGCATGCAGCTCGGCTTCGAAGGCCTGGTGCTTCTGATGCTTACTCTGAAGGTAGCAGAACAGCAAACTGTTAAAACAACTGGAGAAAGGCTCATGATGGGTTTTTAAGGGCAGGATCAAGTTTATTTAAACTAATTCCAGGGCTGCCACTCCGAACTTAAATCTCTGTTTACCTCCCTGAAGGAGGAAGCGTCAGCAGGGTTTTCTGCCTATTCAGGAACAGAGGGGGGGGGATTCATTTGCAAGAGGTTGCTGGACCTATTGGGGGTCGCCAGGGGCTGAGGCACATGGACTCTGGAACTCACGATATCCCAAGGGTGATGGGGATTATAGTGTCACCCATCAGGAGGGTTCTGTTTCATGTGTGAATTTTTAAAAAAGGGGGTGGGGGGTTGGCCATGAAAACTGAGCTGCACAGAGCAAAATGGGTAGCACAACAGGGCATAGAATGAAACTGGCAGGAAGTGACAGGGCTGTTTTATGTGGATAAACCACCTTTGCTGGAAGCTGCCGGCTGATAGGCTGCCCCCTCCCCACTATCTCACCTGCTGCTTAATCATCAAAAGACAAAGCCCCCTTCCTCCTTAAGTTTTTCTGGGCAGTTCCCCCTAACCCTTTCCACACAGAAGAGGGGAAGGAAGGAAAAAGAGAGACAGAGAGAGAAAAGGACACACACACACACACAACGAGTCATGAGCTGGGCTCACACACACAAAATAAATGCCACTGCTCCCCCCCCGCCCCTTAATTTGGTCTCTTACGGGGATGAGGCTGCATTCTTTTGTTCACTTGAGGTCACCTGGGCTGTGGCCAATTCGGAACTGGGCCACGCAAGAAATGGGCCAGTGGGCACGTTCAGCTCCCCTGGCCCGAGCAGTGTCCCAAAGGTTTCTCTCTCGCACGAGTGGGAGCTGCGTACGTGCGCAGGCTGGCCTCCTGTTCGCACATCCCGGTTCCCATCTCCCACACACCCCTCCCGCCGAGCCGCCTGCTCCCCCACGCTCCAAAGAGCAAAGCGGTGAAGAGGCCGAGTAAGACGAGCGCGCCCTGCTCAGCTTGGCACTCACAGAGGGCGCCTGCGCAGGACATCCAACCCGCTTTTGGGGTGCTGGGCAGCCGCAGCGAATCTGAAGGAGCATCACGAGACCGCCCCCACCCCAAAGGCGGCTCTTTTTCATGCCAAAAGCTTTTGCGAAGGGACAAAAGGCTTTGGGGGGACAGGACAATCTTATGCGGTTTCAAGGCCTTCCGTCCCTTTGCAAAAGCGTTCATTCAGGAGACGGGAGCACGAAACCGTGCCCCAAAGGATGCTCTTCTCTTTGGCGCGAGTAGAGCTGAGCGCGCGCCAGCCTATCGCGCCTGCCTCCTCATTCCTTTCACAAACACACCCAAGCCAGACCGCCGTTCACAATGGTTGGGTACTGTTGGTTTGGAGTGTTGTGTGAACCCAGCTGTTAGGTCAAAGGAAGAGTTGAGTGGAGGCATCTAGCCAGATGTTAGCTTCGCCCCCCCCCACTGAACAAGACCAGGAGGGATGTGATTTTTTTAGACCTCGCTGCAGATTGTCAAGGACAACAAGCGGTTCGCCCAGAACCAAAAATGTGAGGTTGCGCAAATGCGCGCGGCATGAAAAATATGGCGACTATATAGGACAGGATAGCACCAGGGCGGGTGGGCAGTGCCAGCCACCCTGAAGAGACCCCATTCCTTGTTGACCCCTCTCCCCCTCCCCAGTGTTTCTATTGGTCGCTTTCTCTCGACCATAATGCACCAGTTCTAGCCGTGTTTGCAAAGGGGAGACCCCATCTAGGGAGACAAGAGCAATGGGCTGGGCGCAGCTTCTCCAGCCTTCTCCCCTTCCGAAGGCTGATGGCCAACCAGTTGGGGAGCATAACAGGCAGGGTGGATTCGATTTAAATCAACTCCATTTAAACCACCATTTAAATCACTAGTAAAAAGGCTTGATTTACATCAACTCGATTTAAATCATAGTTTTTAAAGAGCCACTGTCATCTCTGTCCCGCAGGTGCTCAGTGGTCCAAAGTCCTCTTTTCTGATAAGAGCAACTTTTGCCAAAAGCACCAAAAACTGGTTCAATGACC